ATTCTTTTTAATATATTTATATACAAATATTGAAAATTTTGAAAATTTAATTAAAAAGATTATTCAAAAATAATTTTAGAAAGATTTGTCTGTAGTAATTTTTACACTATATAAAAATCGAAATAAGTTGTATTTTATACTAAAAAATGTGATATTTTGTTGAAAAAATTGGAAGAAAATTCGAAAAATACACAATTTTTTAAAATCAGTCGAAAAAGTCATAATATTCGAGACCTGTAGTATTAATTTGATACTAACGTGAATCAACTTGAAACCAAAAATTTGATAAACTTATTATTTTATCTACATTTTTTACATCAATTCGTTACAATTTAATACTTAAAATTTAGGTAAAAACGAATAAATTTTCACCTTTAATATTTAATTAAAAACGAGTAAATTTGTTAAGTGACAGTTTTTCAAAATTCAAAATGGCGGATTCAATATGGTGGACGATATGTTTAAAATGAATGCAATTTTTGTGAATTTTATGAAATCTGTTACCCGGGGTTTTTTGGGTCACTAATTACAAATCAGAACTTAGATTTAAAAAATTCAACATGGCGGATCCAATATGGTGGAAAATATATATAAAATTAATTTAATTTTCATGAAATGTATGTGATTCTGAGGATTTTAAGGGTTTTTAATAAAATGTAATTGTTACTTTTCTTCAGTGTTTCTGTAAAATTTCTTTGTCGAATTATAAGTATAATTAGTTGAAATTGAAAATCAGTTGAATTAACACTGATTGAATTTTAGAGAGTAGGGTAACTAATCACGATACTTATCTATTTGGCTCGAGGCAGTTTTGATTGGAGAAATAGTTGTATAGGTTCTGGCCGGTATATCGGAGCGGCAAAAATTCAGTCAATGTGATTTCATTTGGTGGCCGTCGTTTAACGAGAGAAAGGCGATCACGTTTCATCTCATTAGTCGAGTGGCGTGGCGCGGTTACATCAATTTATAACTAACGCGAAGTTAGACTTCAATTCACTCCAACTTGCTTAATTAGCACTCCACTTTTTTTTCTTTTTCTTCAATCCTCATCTTTAACTTATACTTCATTTCCCCTGACAATGTGAAAGCTTATTCCAAGAATTATTGTTTAATTATTATTTCTTATTATTTCTTATTTTTTCTCAATTTCACCGATTTTTATACGCATTTATTACTGCGGCACATTACTTTATTACAAAATAATCTTTATCTCTTATTTTCGGCATTTTTATACTTTAGTCTCTTTAAAAACTCTTTTTAATGGAACCAACAACCAATGTATAAGTTTGCTTTTTGATTTTAGGAAATAATAATTAATTTCATTTTTAATTTTATTTTTATTTATTTATTTTTTTTATATTTTAAAAACAAACCCTCTTTCCTTGTAAGATGATTTAAAGATTTTGTATATATGACAAATGACGCAATTATATTACGTGCTTCAACAGATGTTTGTATTACTTTTCTCATATCTTTCAGACTCAAAACAAAATCTCGAACGCTGAAAAATTTCCCGAGACTTGATGGCAAGTGAATTTTGTCAAATTTAACGCAAAATAAAAAAATTTTATGATAATTAACTGATTGCAGTTTCAAAACCTTAAAGGATCTTATGAAAGGAAGCTTTCTTTTTTCAGTTCAATCTTCACTTTCTCCTCTCGCTCTATAATTATATTTCTTTAATATCATTTCACATGAAAGGACCGCGAGAACTTAAAATCTGATGTCCAATATAATTACAAATAGAGTTGATGATGAGTTTGTCTCAGATAAATAAAAATTAGTTTTTCAAAATTTATTTTTCTTGAAGTTAAGTTTAAATCTATTTGAAAAGTAAAATGACAAAAATAAAATATTCTTTTTAGTTTATAAATTAGTAAAAATAATTATAAAATGTTAAATATTCGTTTGGCGTAAATTTTTCAGCTTTAATTTTAAGAAATTCTGTATGATGATTTGCATTTGAAAGAATGGAGGAACCCTTCCGACTTATCGTACAGTATGTCAGCCTTTATAATTCTTGGCATGTTTGCATCAAAGCAAACGTCTGCGGCATGCTCCTCCAGGGAATGTTTAAGATCTGTCCGGAACTTAATAAGTAAATTACTGCGTATGGCCCACTATGCAAAATTTCAAGCCATACAAGAAAAATGACTCAAGAATGAAATCTTTCAAGTTTTTCAATTTACCAACGCAAAATAGCTTGCCCATGATAACACATAAAATGAATAAATATTTCACCACTAAATTCTTATCTATTATTTGCATAATATTGGCAATATACTTTTTAGTGTGATGGATCGATCTCTGAATCATTTGGGTTTATTCATTTTTTTAAACAATAACAAATTTTAGATACTTTCTGATCAGCAAATTTTTCAAGCCCTCTCTATGCTGAAGCAAACGCACCAAATTTTAAGGAAAAATATTAATTTTGTTCATAGATATTGAGCTTTTTGTAAGTGGGACACAAGTGTCCCACTTACAAAAAGCTCAATATCTATGAACAAAATGAATATTTTTCATTCAAATTTGGTGATCTCGCTAGGACAATATGTCCCAGGAGCATTAAAAGGTTAATGCTGTAAATTTTTAAACGTGTTTTTGATAATCTCTGTATTTGAGAATCTTCTTTTGTTTTCATATAAAACTAGACCTCAATTTCTTAACAAGGTTTACAGTGTGAAATATTAATTTCAAAAAAGATTTATAATTTTATAAACGAATTTGAAATGATGACACAACACTGAATCCTCCCCTCTTTATATTTATTATTGCATAAGATGAGATAATCACGTTTCACATTTTAATGTCCAATATATTAGAGCAGTTTAATTATAAATTATCAGATTTTAATTACAAATCACCACTAATTACATTTAATTATCTCTCGCACTACATTATTATCAGATTGCATAAGATTAATTTTCACTAATGTAATTTACTAATTGTAAGACGAAAATTTTTCACTTCAATTTTATAAAAATCGATAAAAAATTAAGATAATTAAAAATTGTTCTTGATTACAAAAATCGTTCTTAAAAAGTACGACGCAGATCAAAATGCTTGAAATTTGAAAATTGTTTTTAGAATTTAGATAAAAAATGAAAAAAAAACATCTTTTATCATTATAATAAAGTGAAACGAAAAGTTAAAATATACAATGAATTTTGAGAAGCTGATAAACAATTATTTCTGAATTTATAATATATTATGATGCCGAATATTGTTTTAGGATGAAAGCAAGTTGTGTGGTTAAATTTCATATACATAAGACTTCATCTAAGTTCTCTCATCTAACAGTAACTATGCGAGTACCGTGGTTTGTATAGCTTTGGAAGTATTCAAATATCTATACTTTCTCCATAACAATAAATTTTCATTTATAGCACAAGTATTTAAAAAAATTATTATTTTTAATAATTTTTTTAAGATTTTTTCAAGATTTTTTCAAGATGTTTTCATTGATTGTATTTTTATATTTTTAAAATACATTTTTCATTATCAATGTTTTAAAAATTGCTAAAGTATAATACACTGGAGCTTCACTTATTTTCACTAAGTCCAAACAAACTGAAAGGCAAAGTCGCACTTATTTTCACTCTGAAACGTAACATTCGAGTTGATTTGATTGGTGGATTCTTTAACATCAACCAATGAGAACGCACGGAGAACCATTTAACTGAAAATAAGTGAGACTGGAAATGGTGAAAATAAGTGAGACTGAAAATAAGTGAAGCTCCAGTGTAAAATAATACAAAGAATGTAAAAATCACATTCTCTGTGATTAAAAATATACAGAATTAACCCTTTAATGCCCCTGGGACATATATGTCCCTCCGAGTGTCCCACTTACGAAAAGTTCAATATCTCTAAACAAAATGAATATTTTTCATTCAAATTTGATGCGTTTGCTTCAGCACAGAGAGGACTTCAAAAATAAATGAACGGTTGATTAGAATTTTATTAAAAGATATTAGGAATAAAAAGAGATTAAAAAAAAGAAAACAGTGTCTAAAATACTCGATAAATTGTATCAAGTTGAATGACCTTTACGGACTGCTATATCGATAAAAGAAAAGATAATTTTAAATGAATCGGTAATAGTTAATGAATGCGTAGTATTGCACGGTCATTACTGGAACATTAACGCTTCGATTACTTAATAATTTCTTGAAATGAGGAATGTAACGAGCTAGCAAAAGCTGAATTGCATTTATTGCTTATGTAAGTGTACATTAATGCCGAATGACTATCAAAGAGTGCGATTAGACTTTAACGGTATTCAAGCACCTTTGACAGGGCACAGCAATAAAAGCTATAACTATATGGCCTTTAATAAAATTATTGAAGGTAAAATATTTTCTTTATTTAAAAATCAGACCTCCACCTGTTTCGCTATCTTTATATATACGAATACATGAAAAAAGGTTATAACTTTTATAACTGAATTAACAGGTTTTTAAAATCACTTTCTAGTTTATTTGTCACATAAAGAGTATTCATTTATAATACCATAATAAAATGTTAAACTATAGAATTTTTTTAAACGTGGTTCGAGTTAATCTACTTTAGTAGAATTATAATTTAAGTTAGGATTTAAATAAAATTAAACATTATCAGGCTTTGGATAGTACAATTTCTGGATTATTATTTATTTTTGACAATTTTTAAAAAATACGACTTTTTTCGATATGTTTTTAATAAAGTGTGAGTTTTGCGATTTGTATTTCACATTTTGCAACAAAATACTACATTTTTTTGGTATAAAATACTGTTTCTTTCTATTTTTATAGTGTCTTACTTTTTGAAAGCCTTTTAGAGTATATGAAACTTCTGTTTTAAGAACAGTTATCATTTATTAAAATGAATTTTGAAACAGGCGGATAGTATAACCCAGCTGGTCAATTATAAAATGGCCATTATTGCCCAAGGGTAATAAAGTGTGATAAGTGAGTTATTAATATATGAAATTTGATGTGGTTTACTTATTGTTTCAGACAAATATGCACGCGTCGTTTCCTTACGATGGTGGGCGAAATAGTGGAGGAGGTGGCGGTGGTGGTGGCGGAAGAGGCGTTGAATACGGTGCCGTTCGACGTCCCGACGCACTTCTTCCACCCCCAGGTCTAGATCAGACTGACCTTGTACTTCACACAAGTCTCGTTGATGACCCCCAGGTGAGCGACGATGTACGTAATCGCAACACTTTTTTCATTCTCCTTTCACGAGCAAACTTTTATCATTTTTGACAACCGACAACATTCTTTCACCAACAACACAATAACAACAATTTTACATGCACTTTATTCAAAATCGAACACAAGTAATTTTACAGGGAAATCTTAGACTTCGAAATTCTCTAATTCGCAAAATTTGGAAGTCTAAGATTTACGCGACTTGCAATTCGGCACAGTTAAAATGTATATTTAATGATTCAAAACAGAAATTAAAATAAAATTTACCCCTTTTTAAATTGTTGTATTTACAAAAATTTGGAATTCTTGGTCTGAAATTTTGGGGAAAGTGGTTGATCTATACATTACCTACATCATTATCTATTCTCTTTTCATTTGGTTCACACAAAGTAATCATACGTTTTCAGTTGTTGCTGTGAAATTATTTTTCATCTTTATATTACAGAACACAAATGTCGACGATGGGGGCTTCATGAACGACTTACCGCTTCTAAAAAGTAAGTTCCATGAATTATTAACCTTTCATTTCTTAGGAAATTAAAACCTCATATCAAAGAAATTGATTTGATTGTCTTTGAATTCATGAATGAATTTTGAATTAATAATTAAACGTCTTAACAATATGTCAACATAATCTTTATGAAGACTAGACGCCTAAGGGGGCATCATCGAAATATTTAAGATCAGCAGTTAGTATTGCCGGAACTAAACGATCAATATTTGTTTCAAACTGTTCAATAAATTCTGAGATGTGGACATTTTTCTATAACTAAAATTACTGCAGTTGACTGGGGTTAACAGTACATTGAACTGTAAAGTACGGTATTCAATTATTACCTTTATCTAAGCATCAAAGTTAGCTTCCTTTGAAAAGGAATTATATTATGATCATATTTTCTAAAACAATGATTGATTTTGTGCGGAAATAAATCATTAGTTTCGTACCACACCCTATATATGTGAGAAGCGACGTTTGTAATATGAGGATAGTTGAACACGCAATTCACAATCGAAATTCAGACTGCGAGCCTATTGTGGGCTAATAAGTAGGTAATCCTGCACCAAGTGGTGGACTTTTTGACATTCGACACTATTGAGGAGGAATTTTGAACGAAGTCACGCGAGACGCCGAGCCGCATCACGTGTTATGTGGATTGCATTCACTAAACTGTATTTATGTACACGAATGGCAAAACTTTGAATTACGTATATTATGTCCTACTCTCGCAAAACTCTCGTCAGTTTCATTTTTTTGAATAATTTTCCTAGATGCCAATATACAAGAACCCCGGCATTCGGAAACCTATAATATAGATTTTTAGTCCCTTGAGTGTCAACCTAAAATACCTAGTAATTTATACTTTTTTGGTGATATAATTAATATTCAGACGTGGTTATAATTTGCAGGTAAAAAATAATGCTTTCTTATTTGGCACTAGAGATTTTTTCTTGAAACACGAAATCGACGTTCTGTATAATATTTTACTTAACTTGGAAATATTTCGAAGAAGTGCTCCGGAATTTCCTCATGATATTTCTATCAGATATCTGTCAGAATTCAGATGGAAATTATTATTGAAACTCCTGGGGAATATTTTCGGATTGTTTGTTATTAGGATACATTATTAGCAATCCAGACATTCGGACAGGAATGTCATAAACTTGTCCTTTTAATTTTTATCACCCATAATCTGATATAGTGTTGAAGGAAAGCTGAATTTGAAAAAAGTTTGAAAGAAGACCATTGTAAATGTTAAAATTAAAGAATCCACCCTATATGTGCTTGGTGTTTTCAGCACGCCCCGATATTAAAGCTAATAAGTCTGCTCGTTTGTCCATCGCCTCACCCTTCATAATTCTCTTTTTTTCGAGAGAAACATTTGACATCAGTTAGAGGCACAACTGAAAACGTAAGAATTTCAAGGAGAACGAGAACGCGATGTGCCACGAACGGAACACGTTATTACCCCTTGAAAGAAGAACTATACGGGTATAATGGACTGTTACGGAAATGTACAATAGTACAAAGGTACAATTGCTATAGAATTACCGATGCGTACTTGGTGCATGACGAGGAGAGAAGAAAATCACTAGTAAATGTTAGGGAGAGAGAGAGAGGTGTCAAGGAAGAAGAGAAATAAAAATAAAGCAAAAGTGTGTGCCCGCGGGCGGGTCGGATTTCGTTTATTGTCATTGTAATTTCTTGACGGGGTGTAGTTTTTGGGGCGGTCTTCACCACAGGGGTATTACCTACAGATGGCTGTTTGTTCGAATGTCACCGAGGGTTATTATATGCCTCGTTACTTCGCACTCACAGACCTTATTTAGACATTTTTTCCACAACCTTTCTACTTGTCAACTTTACACACGAGAGAGACGTGTAAATTATGTATCTACCTAACGTTTAATTCCAAAGTCCTTCCAAAACATATTTATAACTATAAAAATTAATTTTTGCCTCCATTTCTTTTGTATCAAGTCACCGTACATTTCCTGAAGTGGTATCTATAATTCTTTCTTTTAAAATTTGCAGAGTTGTCACAGAATTAACCCATTAATGCCCCTGGGACATATATGTCCCAGAATGTCCCACTTACAAAAAGCTTAATATCTATGAACAAAATTAATATTTTTCATTTAAATTTGGTGCGTTTTCTTCAGCATAGAGAGAGCTCCATAAAAATGTTGTTCAGAAAGTATCTCAAATTTGTTATTGTTTAAAAAAATATCAATTTTTAAAATTTATGAATTTCTAAAACATTTTGACTTTGCATGTCATTACTCGCCTTTTTAAATTTTGATAAAGTCAGAGTTGCCACACAACCTGGAAAATTGTTGTTTTGTAAAGTAATTGAGTTTTTTCTTGAAATCTAATACAAATTTTTCTATTTCTGTCAATAATTTCTTTTCGAAATTCATCAGAAATTCAATAAAATTCAAGTGTAAAATTTTCAGAGGTCACTTTCTGAGGAATTTTATTCAGCGGTCAATTAAATTTTTTTTAAAATTATTATATTCAATATAGATAATTTATAATTATTAAATTCTCTAATTCGCAATTTTTAATTATTGAAGAAGCTAAAAGAGATGTCAGCAACGTGGGAAAAAACTCGACAGAAGTTTATTAATAACGCTTCAAGGATAAATGACAAACCGTTTGCTTGCCAGCTTCTTTAGAATTAATTTTTTTTCCTGCCCTCCTGCAACTTTCAACACAGATTATTCATATTCTTATGGATGTTTAACCTTATTTTCAAAGTATGACCTGATTTTAGTAGACAATCTATGAACGCAAAAAAATAAAAATTTGGTAGAAAGATAAACACACTTTTTACCAAACTGCAGATGTGAGACAGAATAATATACACGAAATAATTTCACATTCTTCATTATCTCAGTGGTTCCTTTCAGCGCATAATTGAGGTGCCTCACTGTGAAATAACTTAATAAATTCCATGATAAGGCGATACTTATTGCTTTCAAACTGAATGCAAAAAAATATATATTGCCATGACGATTGCTCGAAGAAAATTCTGCTCACTGACTATATAGTCGTTACTCGAGGCACGTACGAAAATTAATCTTGAGAAAGTAAAAATGTGTCAGAATAATAAAAAGAGGAGAGTCTTGATTTTATCATGCCTCTTGTATACCTAATGAAAATTTCAGATGACAAATTTATAAAATCAGGGAACTCGACTTACTTTAGATGTGTTTATGGTTTTCTCGAATAATGATGACACATCATTCTGCAAATTATGTTTCACGTATTTATTTTATTGTTTTAATTAAAATTTTATTCGTGCTGTGTCAAAATATCTTGACATGGATAAATAATCTCGGAAAAAGACCCATTTGACGGGATAACATTTTTTTTGGTCAATTAATTTTCGAAAGATCAACATTTTTGCAGGGCTCGAACCGCAGTGAAAGTATTTAAAAATACGGACTTTACGGACCAAAAATGAAAAATTAAGGACCATTTACAGATCAATAATTCCGAGTCAAATAAGAGAACATTTTACTTAAAACTAGAAATTAAATTTTTCATAAATAAAAAATGAAGATATCGATCAAACCCTGTTTGTAGGAACCAAAAATCTTTGAATTTTAATGACCCATTTTAACTGTTTAAGAATTAGGAGTAACTAGCATTTATCTAGACCACCCTTATCGGTCTTTCTGGAGAAGAGAGGAAATTAATAACATAATTATTTAGAGAAAACGGAAAGAAATAAAAAAACGAAACAAGAATGAAACGTGTAATTTATGCGTATACATCATGTTTATGATGTTCATTTATCTAAAAGTGAACTAAATAGCGGCCCTTTGAGAGAAGGGTTTTTAACTTCTTATTCCTACAAATGGATCACAATTCTTGGCAGAAAATGACGAAAGAATCAGGATCAGTAATTGTATAACCGGCTTCCAAGAAGCGGAACGTGGTTGCTGCATCATGCTGCGATCATCGTGTTCGCTATTCTATATAGACAACTTGCCGTTCAAGTAGTTTTACTCTGACTCGCCCAACCATCGGCAGATTCATCCCATCCGTAAGCTTTCTTTGTACACGTTGCGAGTTTGCGACCACTCCTCTTGGTTAAAAAAAAGTTATCAAGTTTAATTAAACAATCCGTTAGCAAGCAGTCTTCAACAATACTATCAATTCTCCTGTCGTCGCGTATATTGTAACATTTTTTTCTTTTTTGTATCAGTTGAGTGAAGCCGTTACAACACAGGGGTAACTGCCCTCTTGAAAACATCCGTTTTTTTACACCATTTTGCTTTTCCCTATTTTCGAAATTCAATTTTTGATGTCTTTCAAAACAAATACAATCAAATTTATGATATCACTTAAACTTTATTTCTCAACCAGCTAACTTCTTACTTATTTTTTAAAATAAAATCAACAATTTAAAAATAATAGAATTTCAAAAATTTGTAATTCAATTTTTTGTTCAAAACACTAAAAACATTCAATTTTGGAGAAATTATAAATAATTGCAGAAATTCAATTGTTTTCAAAAGTAATAATTATAATAAAATTTAACAACGTTCAAAAAGTTTCAAAATTCTCGACAAAAATTCAATTATTTTTATAAAAAACAAAATTATTCTTCGAAATTCAATTATTTTCAAAAATAAGAATAAAATTCTTGTCAAAATTTCAATTATTTAAAAAAAATTTTCTCATTTCAAAATAATTTTCAGTATCTACTATTTTCATAAAATTTCAAAACAGAATTCAATTATTTAAAAATTTTTTTGTAAAAATCTTCGTAAGAATTCAATTCTTTACATGAATAATAATAAGAAATAAAAATTTCACAAAAAGAATTCAATTATTAAAAAAAAATTTTTGTAAAAATTCAATTCTTTTCATGAATAATAATAAAAAATAAAAACTTCCCAAAAAGAATTCAATTATTTAAAAAATTTTTTGTAAAATTCTTCGTAAGAATTCAATTCTTTTCATTAATAATTTTTTGAAAGAATT